ACTGGATACAAGAGTTCTCAAGTACACCACAAACATAGCCAAGGCCAGGGGCTGCTTCTGGGTGCAGCTGATGGCTGAGTGCAGCTTTTAGGTTGGCTGGTCACCCTTACACTGCAGTGCAGACAGGTAAATACCACAGTGACTGAAAAATCCTCCAAGGACAGGTAAGTTGCTGACAATTCATCTGGGAAGGGAGGAACATGTGCCAGATGAGTTTGAAGTAGGTCAGCTTATGACAGTACTAAGACACATGAAAAACATGCCAAAGATCTAGAGCCAAATGTACTGCAAACCCTGAATTCAGAGAGGTGCCAGAGTGCAGGCATGAGAAGATAAAATAAACATTCAAATTTACTTATATTATTTAAATTGCCAGTAAAGCACCTGAAACCAGCAAATCAAATAATGTTAAATGTTAAAAGGTACTAGTCTTTTAATATAAATCACTCTGTAAAGAAGCTAATGAAACCTTACAGGTCCACCAGAAAAACAACTGAACTCAGGCAAGGACTAAGTCTGTTGCTAAGGTTATTCAGATAAATTTATTCTGTTTCTGAAGACTAAACAATACAGTTCTTTATATTGAGGTATTCCCTTGTTATTGAAATATAGGCTCTCTTTATAGCTTATTACTACACAGAAATGTGACGTCTACAGGTATCTGACCAAAACAAGGCATTTTCAAAAGCCAGAGATGGAATACAGGTTTTTAAGGCCCATTTTAGTGCAGGTAGCTCCAAGAATTACTGCTGTTTAAATGGTTGAACAGGAAAAGCTCAAACCACTGCACATGAAGATAAAAAAGTTTGTCCTTGAGTATTGTACTGCATCCACTTCCAACACAATTCTGTATTCACTCAAAAAGTCCTGCAATTCCCAACTGTATCTGCAAGTTATAAGACTACAAGATATATTAAAATCCTAAAGCCTTTATGTGTAAGTTTAACACATTACAATATTTACTGTTCAGAATAATTAAGGCTGTGATACTTGACTTCGTTGCCAGAGTTTTAACTGAGATTTTCCTGAAGGTCTCTTAGCTCTCTATTTTATAAAAATTTATTCTAGTATTTGAAGGGAGTAGTTAGAACTTGGACATGTACAAAACTGTAAGATTTCTAACTTCCCACATTTGGTCCAGGTCTTAAGTGGCAAAGCTGCTGGAGTATATAAAGAGCAAACAACAGAATTACAGTACATACTGCTTAGAACTGACTTATCAGTATCTTGTTTGCAGTGGTGGCTGCATAGTGCCTCCTCAACAAGTTCACTGATGACACCAAGCTGGGAGGAGCAGCCAATACCCCAGAGTGCTGTGCAGCCCTTCAGAAGGATCTCAGTAGAGTGGAGGGATGGGCAGAGAGGAGCCTTCTGAAATTCAACAAAAGCAAATGCAGGGCCCTGCACCTGGGGAAGAATAGTTCTGGGTTCCTCAGAACAAGGAAGACATGGAGCTCCTGAAGTCATTCCAGCAGAGGGCAACAAAGATAAGTGGATCACATCACTTAAAAGAATAGGCTGAGGGAGCTGGGCCTGTTTAGGCTGGTGAAGACTGAGGGGACCTCATCAATGTCTGTATCTGAAGGAAGGGTGTTAAGAGGATGGAGCCAGGCTTTTCTTTGTGGTGCTGAACAATGTCACAAGAGGCAAACGGCAGAAAGTGATGTCCACGAAGTTCCACCTGATTATGAGGAAGTTCTTTACTGTGTGGGTGGTTGAGCACTGGAGCAGTTGCCCAGAGAGACTGTGGAGTCACCTGCACTGGAGCTATTCAAGAACCATCTGGACACAATCCTGTCCCATGTACTCTAGGATGACTCTGCTTGACCAGGGAGGTTTGACCAAATGACCCAGTGTGGACCTTTCCAACCTGACCCATTCTGATTTACCAGTAAGATCAGGTAAAATTAGGCAAACCCCAGACTCAATTAGCAGTTACAACACAGAATGTACACTACCCCCTGCAAACAACTGCAACATCAGAGCTGAGCATTCTCCTTACTCTTGAATTTTTTGTTCATGGCGTTGGCTTTCCCAGTGGAAGAACACCTGAGCATGACATTGTGCAAGGCTCCTAAGAAACAAGTCATGGTACATAGCCTTTTATTCTGGATTGCTTAAAAGTTCTCTTGACATATTTCAAAAACCGTTAGGATATGCATCTAACAGCAGCTGCCATTCTCTTACACTTTATGGGAAACTGGATTTACACCTATGCTCCATATTTTGGCAAAAATTGAGGTAAAGAATGTGTTTAACAGCGAGCTACCAGCATGCTAAAAGCAAAAATCCCTAACTCTATCCTAATAGAGTATTAACAGTGTTCTACCTAGTCTTCTGCTGAAAGTAGACCAGGGAAGGCACAACCAATGTAGGACTAAAACAAAAGAAAAACAAAACAACAACAACAAAAATATCCTCAAAAACTACCCCAACCAGCATTAGGTAGGCCCCTAAAGACCATAAACAGGCTGGACATTCTTGGATGTGACAGCATTCCTGCAGCTAATCCAGTATATATCATCATTGAATACAGAGACTTCTATGCTTCTTTTTTAGAGGATGGGTTTGTGACTGCAGAAGGGATTAAAAATAAGGGAAAAAATCCAAAGAATAGTAACAATGACATCAGAGAATAGAAAGGGAAAAAAAAGAACTTATCTTTGAAATCCCTGAACAACAAACACTGAACTTGCATTGAACAGTGACATTTCTTGTAGATTCTACTCCACTACCATCAAAAAGACTCCATGGAGAAGTTCCCAATTTGAAAATTTGCTCACTAAAGTAACATGAAAGGAAAAGCTGTTCATAAAAGGAGTTCAGAACTTGTACTAGCAAATCCCCTGAAGGTCACCTGGCTGAAGTGTTCAGTGACAGCAAAGCACCATAGTACCTGGCAGATGAGAACAGAAGTGTGTCCTCCCATCCTGTTATAAAACGTATAAAGAAGATACTAGCCCAATACAGCAAGAACACCACATACCTGGTCATCCATGCCTTTCTCTGTTCACAAGAAACAACAACAAAAAAACCAGCTCTGCACAGAATTGTGTGTAGTCTTGAGAGTTAACTAGATCCTCAGAAAGAGATCAGAAACAACAACTCAGCACAAAATTAGATGGGATTTTGCCAAGAAGGTTACAGTGATTATTTATACCTAACTTTTCTCCAGAGCTGCAGAAATCACACTACTCACAGACACAAGTTCAGAACCACTTAGATCAATCTAAGGCTTTAGTTAGCACATTAGCAGGAGTGCTATGTCAATATCCAGGCAGCACATTCTTTGGAATAAGAACCTCTAAAATTATTGCTTAAGCATTCAACTTATAAAGTGCTGATTTTTTTTCAGACACTGAAGTATCTTTGATTTGGACCACAGATCTATTTTCTTGGGACATCTAATCTCAGAATTTGAATCAGCTTTCAAATAAGTCCTATAAAATACCAGTGAATAGTTCACTCATCCTGAGAAGCAACAGCTGAGGACAACCACATAAGTGTAACGAATGGCAGGGCTGAGACTGAAGACCCACTAGCCTATGGAACAGACTTTTTGCACTTACATGATTTTCCTTACTCACTTTTCTCCATTCAGAAGAAATATCACATTTTGCTGCAAGAATATCAAGTTTAGGACTGAAGATCAGTGATATAGAAAAGCACATGCTTGGACTGTAGTCTGAGATTTGAACCTGCCATGTCCTGTGCCATGTGCTATCTAGGTAACACACAGGTAGAGTCTTGGCTAAGAGGTTTATCTCCAGACTGCTTCCTGACAAGAAAGAAGCAGGATTTCTGATACATTACTTAATCAGCACTTTATCCTATTTACAACTCTTAAAATTGTACCATTCCTTCTATTCCTCCTCCTCCTTCCTCCTTGACTGTCTCCATGAAAACTTTATGCATTGAGAAGATTAAGAAAAAGAATGTGTCTTCTCTCAATAACAAGAGAGAAAACACATGCATGTATTTAGGACCTGTATTTTTCTCCTACAGAACACTGCATTTGGTCCTATCCATTCTCACCAGACATAACCCATCCCAAGACTGTCAGCTTACCAGAGGCAAGATTCACTGACTAAAGCGCAGAATTTACTTTCACTTCCAAATCTGATCACTTGCCTTACCATATGACACTATGCAACTCCAACCAAATTAGTTTGTTTCTTACCATTAGAAAAAATAACTATTTCCCAAAGATTCAGACCTAGTTTTTCTAAAGTGTTTCTGAGTTCCTCACATGAAGAACTTAATTATATTGCATAAAACAGAAACAGGAAGGTGACCTGCTTATTATTCCTTTATGAATGAAAAAAAAAAGAAAATGAACTTGTTAGATGAAAATTGTGTTTAATTAGTGGTAGGTACCAAACCACTCTTGAAATCAGTGCATCAGTGCTACTAAGCAACATACCAAATCTATGCAGATATCATTTATTCTATTTTGATTCCAATATAAGTTTTTTCCAACACATCCTTTGCTTAATCCCCAATCTACTTATCCAAAACACAATACAAGCTATACTTAGTTTTCTATTATTACTTAGAAGTAAAAAAAAACTTGTTCTTTAATATTTTGGCTTCAAGAAAAGACAGCTTGTGAATCCACTGGCAATCTCCATTAAGAATTTTTTTAGTTTCCAAAGTCCTATCAACACTTAAAGTCTTCCACAGATTAAGCCAAATCTATGGTTAAAATTCAAAATACAAAAGATATGAATTATGTTTTTATAAAAATGTAAAAAGCTAGTCAAAATTACATGTTTAGATATTTAATCTCTGAACAAATGGAGTATAGCAGCAGGGAACTTAAATATTATAACTATCAACAATAAATACAAGAAATTAATGCAAAGATTGCAATAGAAGGATTCTTGAGTACAATGAGAATATAAAGAGACATTCTAATTTGTACAAAAACCATCCCAACTCTGTATACAATCTCTTCTATAAATACAACCAGAGAAGATGAAATGCTTATTTGCAAATAATAGTTATTAAAAAGTGTGCTTTATTGGGTTTTCATTCGTTCTCTTGGCAGGTGCAGTTTGCAGGAAGTCTGTAAAGACAAATTTCCATAATTAGGTATTTTAATTTCTCCAGAAGTTATATTTTAAATACAAGTAACAACAGATGCAGAACATACTTCCACAAAAAGTGTTATTAGAACAATAAACACTGTAACAAATCCATTTGCAATTACCAGATGTGTAACAATAAGGTAAACTGTTAACAAATCAAGTTTACCTATAGCGGAGCATGGAATTGGCTGTGCATTGCTATTGCCTGTTGAAGTTTTTCCTCTTTGGCTCGTCTGCAGTGGCAGAGCTATGAAAAAAGACATACAAGACTGAATTCTAAATGCAGTTTTTTATAATGCATACTGCAGTTTATCCTTAATGATTTTAGCTATTTTACAGGCTCTTTAAAGAAAGAAAACCCTGCCTGACCTACCTCCCTTCCAAGCTTTGGGCTGAATTATGGTCTACACAGATAACATTATTCTATCCAAAATTTTTTATAAGAGAATTGTTTCCAATGTTACAAAATGCATTTATTTGGTACCTTTAAAGAAAGGTACACTACTTGGTAAGTTACTTTTGTCACAGCACAAGCAAGAATGGTGGTTTTTGAACCTCAGTTACTTATTTGATGATAGCCATCAACAGAATTTGTTTAAGAAGTTTAATAAATTAAACATTAAGGTTGTTTAATGCAACATGCCAGTTTATGTCAACCTTACAAATCTGAAATTTACCATGTGGCTATCTTCCCCTATATCTAGACAAGATACAGAAGAAATTGGCACAAAAATATCTGCAACAGCACATGAATATGGTCTAATGCAGGAGACCTTTGCACTCCCATCTTAAAGTATGTGCCTTTGAAATGCAGATTATAGTTTAAATAAACTGAAGCCATTTAAGGATATTTTTTTCTTCTGTCAAAACTCACTAAAGCACTGTTCTGTATCACAGGACTGCTCAAACTCTTAAAAAAAAGAAGTCCTAAATTTGTTCACTGTGTTTTGTACATGTCATGGGTTAGAACTACTTGTATATTACATACCGTTCTCTTTTCCATGAAACTACTAAGAAAGTCATCTATCTCTGTTTTGCCTTCCAAGAAGTCTTCTGCAATAGTATCAGACTCCTCTTCAGCTTCATGAGCAGCTACTTTAAGTCTGGCCTGCAGAGCACTCGGACTGCAACTCTAAGAAAATAAAAAGTCCAATGTAATATTAGCCTGTCCATTAAAACTTAGAATTCCAAGAAGATAAATGACTATACAAATATGGAATATGTGGATAGAGTACTATTATTACATAAAAGCCTAAGTAACCAGATGAAGTTCCATCTCCAAGTTACAGCACAGCTTGTTAAACTAGAAAGGCTTCACTGTGAGAAAAGTGTTGCTAGTTTAGGTCTTGATACACAATCATTCAGACAAATGAAGAAAGTTTTTCAACTTTTACCCTACAGTGTAGAAAGCATCCAGCTTGGAAATCTGACAAGTTCTCAAGTGCATGATTTCTGAGTAGAACTAACATTTCAAGTGTCTTCAATAAATAGGGTCTACTTTTGAAAATCAGCTGTGAACCTGAGAAGTATAAAAAGGTAAAAAAGCACTTACTGTTCGCTTTTAAATACCCTTGAAATGATTGTGGAGAAGACAGGAAAGAAAAAAGCACCTAGTCACTCAAGAAGTAGATGGACTGCTAATCTAAATCAGTATACTCATTTTTCTGTTCTTATAAACATCAAATCTTACTTCTGCTTATTGCATACAATTTCATTATTTTTTCCTCAAATATATCTGGGCAGTTAAAGAGGACGTGATTCACTCTGATTCACGTCCAGTAGGAGTCTGTACAGAGCCAGAACTGCAAAATTAAGGTATTTATATGTTTTAGATGCTTGGCCTAACCTTCATCTACCCTATGAAAAATCTTTTACTTATGTACTTTAAAACCTTAATGTAATCAAAAATTTCCTGTTAAATTAATCTTGTACAAAATATGGAAAGTTTGCTCTAATAGAAGATGACTAAAATTCACTCAACACAAGTAAAAATACTTGTTTGGAAATTTGAAGGAAAGAGAGCAGGAGATACCATGTAGTGCACAGCAAACATCACTACATGAAGATATAGCATATATGCAAAAAAGGCAGAAAAATTCAACTGCTACTCCTCAACTCTCAGCCTCCTATCCACCATTAAATTGAATCAGCAAATCAGATGTAGAAAAAAGAAAAAGGACTTCAGCAGTGTGATATTATGTCCTGTTCTTGAATGGTTTCTTGCAAAAATAGGTAGTTTATCCATGTCAATTACCTCTGTCCACTTTAAAGTCAAAGGAGCCATTAGGAACCAGATTATCCTGATTTCCAAGTGAGGAAACCTCTAATACATTTAGACCACCTACGAAATCATTCGGTTTGCCATCATGCAACTTTTTTTTTTTTTTTTTTTAATTTGTTTTGTTATTCTGGGGGCATTCTGAAATTCAGGTACTATGCATACTAAACTGATGGACTGTTGCATTCTCAGGTGATGAGTCTTGCAAATTATGAAGATTTCAGTGCAGAAATTGGTTTATCAGAAGTTATATCTTCTAATGAATACCCTGGTAAACATCCCAAGAAATTATTCTCCTTGAATACTTTCTGAAGTAATAACTTCTGCTCTATTTGCACTGTAGAACGTGCAAGGTTTGACAGCACATAGAACATATTGGCTGAAATAAGCATTCCTAGTGAACTGCAGAATTTAAGTTCCTGCAGTTATTGAGCCCTTTCATCTGGTACAGCTTTACAAGCTCATTATGTTAAATGAGTACCATTAATTGAACATGCCTTCTTTAAAAATTACTCTGTTCTTAAAACTGGTTTGGACTGGGATTGTACTGAACAGTTCTAGATGTAGATCACTCTTTTCTTCCAACTGTGCTTCTATTGTTGCAGTAAAAAATACAAAAACTCAATAAGAAAACCATTACTTTGCTTTTAACTTTTTGGTACATAGTTCCATTTTTTTCATATTTCATGAAATACTTAATCTACTTCATATTAAATGAGAGTTAAACCAAAAGAATATTCTTAATGGTTAAAGATACAATTCAAAACTTCAGATTTATCAAAGTATTCTTAAAGGATGCCATGTAGGAATTATACCTCACTAAGTTCATGCTGTCTTTGCATCTTTTTTTCAAAGGCTGCTTTCATTTGTGTGAGTTGCTCATACTGGAAGGAAGAAGAAAAGGAACATTATCACCTTGAGAAATCTCCAGATATTACCACTCATATTTCTGAAGATGATTTTATTGTTAACTTACTTTATCCAACACTGTCTGTCTTTTTGCTTCAAGGCTAGGCTCCAGCAACAGGTTTTTTTCTGAAAAATAAAATCACTATTACTACTTTTTTTAAAGGATTTAGTTCACAGAACAAAGCCACACATGTTAACATTTTGACAGCTTACTTGCCAGCTCTTCAATGCTTTTCACTAACTCATCTCTATCAGTAATGACTTGCTTCAGCTGTGGAAGAGTCACAAACTGTTCCAGTAACACCTCCTCTTGCTCATTCATACTGGTCAGCTGTGATATACTGTACTCAAACAGAAAAAAAGTACATATAAATCTGAAAACATCACATGTAAAGTAATTCATTTCTTCCAAAATTTGAGGCATTTTTTGGCACTTTACAAATACATGACACTTCACAACTTATTTTTCCCCTTTCTCCTTGGGCTCTACTATATGCAGCAGTGAATTTAAAAAGCAGCATGTTAACAAATAACTCCCATTTCAAGCCTTACTTCCCATAATGCTACTATAGTGGATTGACTGTGTCAAGCTACCAGATGCCCAGTCAGCTGCTCTCTCAGTCCCTCTCCTCAACATGCTATGGAGGAAAATCTCAGGAGTTGAGATAAAAACAGTGAAGTCACTTACCAGTTACAATCACACACAAAACACACTCAGAAAAATTTAACTGAATTTATTGTCAATTACAGTAAGACTTGGATGGTAAGCAAAAAAGGCAAAAACTAAAACACTTTGCTCCATTTTTCCTCAGGCTCAACCTCGTTCCTTCATGCCTAACACTACCTTCCCCTGCCTCCCTCTCCTTGGGGCAAAGGGGGAACTGCCAAGTCTAGCAGTCAGTCCCTAACAGTTCATCTCTGCTTCTCCTTCCTTCTCACACTTCACCTCTGCCCCACAGACTGTAATCAGTTCCTGGCAGGAGAGACTACTCCAGTCTGGGTAATACCTGGCTGCAGCTTCCTTCAGGGTATATCTGCCTGCTCCAATATTGGGTCTTTCCTGGACTGCAGTGTGGGTAACTGCTTCAGCACAGTCCTCTCAGCTACAGGGTACATTTTAAAAATACCTGTTCTACTGCAGCCTTTTCCAGAACTTCTGTGGGCTGTGGAAAAGTAACTGCTCTGGGACTTGGAGCACCTCCTTCTCCCCCTTCTTCTCTGACCTTGGTGTTTGCAGGATTATCACATTTTTCCATTCCTCCTCTAAATCCTCATGGCCTCTGCTCTTTCTAAAATGTTTTCAGAGGCAGCGCCTGCTTCACTAATGGACTCAGCAGTCCTGCAGTGGGTCTGCTGCCAAACCAGCTGTGCCTGGCACAGGGGCAGCTCCCGACCCTTTCTCACAAAGACCACTCAAAAATCCCCCTCTACCAAAACTGTGCAATCCATACACAACAGAATTATTCAGAACAGCTGCAATACCAGTGTCATTCAACTAAACTACCAACAGAAGCATCATGGAATTTTAATCCGGTCTTCTTGAAAGGACTAGGCTTGATTAGAACGTTTTAACAATAGCATTTAACAAATTATACTTCCCTGCAAAAGTCTTAATTTGCTGTTATGTAATATGGATGCTGCATGAACTTAACAGCCACGTCAGTAAAACTAAACAGGCTCTTTGGAAAGTGTCAAAGGAAAAGAAAAAGCCACTCCAGTTGAAAGGACAGAGTTTTCAATTGCTTAACTACAACACCACCAGAAATATGTGAGATCTGAAGGAGTTTATAACGAATTTGTAATCTATTCTACCTCACATAACTGATCTAGGAAACTGTCTCATTAGATCTGAGCAAGCTGCTGGGAGTAATAACTAATACAGTTTGTTTGAATAATGACAAACAGATGAAAAATATTTCTGTAGTATGTGTATAAAGTATTCAGATGTAGCAATGATTTGCACTGGGACAGCAGACACATTTAGCACCTGGATTTGTCTAACCCAGCCTCTCCTGAACATGCTGAGCTGCTCACAAAACAATTCCCCATTCACCTTGCACTACAGTCCTTTGGAGTTTAGGAGAATATAATTTTTGAACCAGCCTCAAGCTGTCCTATTTCCTCCTTCAAAAGTTATGCTTATTGAATGACTAGAAATTAAGTCCCTTGCAAGGCCTCAGAAAATAGCAGAACACTGATAGTAAGAAAAAGTAAAAAGAAATACTCCTTTTCCTGGTGTTGAATCAAGTACTGTTCCTGCTGACAAAACCCTAAAGAAACAGCACATTTGAATATAAAACAGAGTTATTTTCTGATTCCAATACTTTGGTATGTGGTAGTTCCCCTAATTATGATTTCTACAAAACCCTTTAGTGATGAGTACAGACTTCTGACAAGTATCAGATACAGGCCAGTAGTACAGTACAGTGCCTTTCAATAATTATGGAAAGTTCAACTACCTTCCGAAAGTTTACCTTAGTTCTGAGAGTTCTGGAAAGGTATCAGGAACATCAGGCATTTTGTATGTAAATCCGTTCTGGCCAACCTGAATCAAAATTTAGAAATGCTTAGTAGGTTTTTGAAGTGCAGTTTATTGATATTTAACCTGATTAATCAAGATCTGAAGAGGAATATTTTCTAGCAACAAGAGAAGCAGGAAAAGCAGTAAGAAGCAATAGCACTAGTATCTGAACAGAAAACAACTCAACCAATGCAACAAAATGCTTGAAGATGTTTGGGGTGACATGTCATAAAAGATGAGTCAATTTTGGAGGAAAATAATTCTGTTTTGCCATGTCCTTCCTTTGAAAACAGTTGAATGACTAAGGAAATACACAGGAATAGTAAAACTCAGGGAAGTGAGAACAGAGAAGGAGACTGATATTTTGATCTCTTTAATGTGGTTTTTAAAGCTATTATCCCTCAGAAAATAAATGTTTTAGACAAGGAAAAAACAGTCATAGAAAATTTAAATTCCATAAAGCCACATAAAGTGCCTTCCAAGCCTCAGAAAACTTGTTTCTATAGACATGATTTGATTCAAGACTAAACATTTAGAAACAAAGTTTTATTTAAAATAAAATTCCTTCCAGAGTTCATCAGCAATAAGGAGCTTGAGTATAAACATACAAGATAAAACACTACATATAAAGACTTGATTGCACAGTCAATTGAGATTGTGAGATTGCACATTGCCCTTACCTAATAGGTTCTGAACAGGAAAGAAAGAAACATTTTCTGTGGTTGGAGATACAGCTACAGCTGCCCTATGGGGGAGTTCAGCTCCAAAACAAAACCCTCTGTAATCAAAGACCCTTAGCATAACACTAGTTTCACTGAAACTCAGACAAACCTGTTGCTCTGACTTCAAGTTCTAAAGAATTCTTCATCAAAGCCAGAATGACAGTTTTGTTTCCCCAGCACCAGCAAAACAATGAAGTGCACTCATATAAGTGCTTCCTTGAGTCTTACAGCAATGCCCTGTGTGCTCCTAAAGGAATTTATACCCAGTGTCTGACAGCTCAAGCAGCAGAACTCAGCACACCAACCTGCAGCACCGCTTCTGCTGTAGGAACAGGCAGCGGCAGATCAGCAATCAAGCCATAGGAGGGAGCAGCAGGCTTGTCTGTAGTGTAGCTTGAAGAAACTGATTCAGAAATGGGCATGGGTGCCATTGTTCTGTTTGTTTCTTGAGGTGGATATGGAGGGAGAAATGGAAACCCCTGAGGAGCAAAAGGAGGCATTCCAGCTGGTTTGTTGAAAAGGCTAAAAACAAACAAAACCACAACCATGAGCTGCTTACAGCACATCTCTTGTCATCTGAATTATAATTACCAGACCACATATAAGACATAAGAATGAATTTTCAAGTGGCCATAAACTTTGTCTTTTCTGTTCTCAGTTACTCCCAATGTAATAAGCCTTTCTGTCTAATACTACAATATAGAACTCCATTAATCTACATTCTTGTAGAACAGCCAAATACACACTTACACTCTTAATTATGAGAAAACTACTTCTCAAAAATTTATGACAGCACAATTTTAAATTGTTTCCATCCTAAAGTTGTGAGAAAAACATCTGTGTCATATATTAGCTCTTATTTATGGTATAGCATTTAATAGCTTGGGCAACACACACATAATTACTTCTAAATAACATGAATATTTTTTTTTTAAATTCACAACGGCAGCCACATCTAAACTTAGTATCACCGTCAATCACTGTCAGCCATGAGAACCACAGTTGTACTGATACAATTTGAATTCAATACAATACTTTAAATCACACAGTTTCTGCTGCACATGGTGCAAGAGGAACTTCCCTAAGCCTGGGAGATTATGAACAGAATATGAAAAAACACAATTGCTCAGATCAAGAGATATAGGAAATTCTAGATTTCATCTGGTAATGTAAAAATTTCTTTTTCAAGAAAATGGATATAAAGTTGTATCAGGCATGTTGATACAGTAACTCCAATGAAATCTAGTGTCTCTTCTGAAAACAATCAGGTTATCCACCACGCACATGAAATTGTGCAAGGACAGGGAATGTAATTCTTCCGGTATATCCATTACATTACTCCTGTCCCTGCCCTATGTATAACCAGTTTAGTCACTTTTAAAAAAATTAAGACATTTATTATGTTTAGATAACTTACTATGGAAATGATGTTGAGCTAGGAGCTAGAACCGGAGGATTCTTCCAAAACTCATCCAGTAAACTCTGAATAATTTTTCCAAGATCTGAATGCATTGTAAACTGGAAAAAACACAAAACAAAACCCAAAAAAAGAAGAAACATTATGTCTGGAATCTAAGAGTTCCAAAATGTGCTGAACTTGATTGTTTATTATACCTACGTGACAGTGCTGAAAAGCTATTTCAGACATACTATTAATCCAAACTGTATATACATAAGCTCCAAATAAAGTGATAAAGCAACCCAGAATTGAACAGAAACTAAAAGTCTTTTGTATATGCCGTTATTAGTGGAGAGTCAATGAAGTACCACATTTATATTGAACAACCAAAAATCCCCACTTTAGTTAGCAAGTTACATTTGTGTAAACAACAGAAGAGGAAAAAAATTAAAATATCTGAGGACAGAGGCGCTAACTACATTCTAAAAGAGTCAGAACCTCCATCCACTCAAATAAAAAATAGAACAATCTTGTTGACAAAAAAGACCAGCATATTAAAATCCTGAATATTCGAGCTAAAACCTTGACGCCATTCTAATAGGATTAGGCTAGAAAGAACTATGTTACAAAACTGTCTTAAAGCATCCCTCTCCTTTATTTGGAATACACTGGAATGTAATTGGAAGAGCTGTGCAATTAAAAATAGCCAAAAAAGTGTCACAGTAATTTTCTAAGCATTCATAACTTAAAATAGTTTTAGATACATGGAATAATCAAGTCAGAAATTGTATCAGTAAAAGAATAATTACAATAACTGCTGAACACTTCTGAATTTGTTTTCAGGCCCTGAAATACAGTTTCAGAATACAGAAAGAGATTAGGATCTATACTGATCTTTTTTACCAGGAGTATTAACAACAATCTAGTGTAACATGTATTAAAACTGCTATTAACAGTAGATCTGTGTGAAGCTACAAATTATACATACATTACTTATTAATGGACCGGTCACATATACTCCCTGCTTGTCCACTAAATGATGTCTCACAGGTGGGAAAACACTGATTACTGGTTTTTCCTGAGGAAATTGAGGTGGAAGCAAACTGCAAATACAAGAATATTTATTACTACAGTGACACCCCATGATAAAGTTTGCATAAGAAGGCTTCTTATGCAAAGAAAAAGTACTATTAATTACATAAACATATTTTTCTATGCCAACTGTTATGGACAAGTACACAACGAATGAAGCAGACAAAAGGATTATTCAGTTACAAAATTTAAAGTCCAACAGATTGGAGTACCAGACTTCCACAAAACAGAAGAGAGCATTTACTATGTAAAATTGTAGTATAACAAAGGAGCAATTATCACAGAATATTCTGAGATGGAAAGGACCCACAAGGATCACGGAGTCCAACTCTTAAGTGCATGGCCCATACAGGCACTGAACCTGCAGCCTTGGTGTTACTAGCACATGGTCTGATCAACTGATAGACAACAAAGAAGCTGTAGCATAACAAGAACATTTTCAAACATAAATGTTATTACTACAAATACAATGCAGTGTAGCCTGTAAGAATATTAGGCCAACTCTGCAGGGCAAAGTAATATAAAACTTGTGAACAGAATACTATAAACATTTGCCAGAGCAAGTGTCCCCCCAAAGTAAATTCACAGGAAATATTACAATAAATCACTTGAGTTATGATCCAGAAACTTCACCAGGGTAAGAGTATGTAGTTACAGCAGACTAAGAAATTACCAATCAAGTTTATTTTCAATGGCAGGGAATCAAAGTTATCAAAAATCCTCAAGCATTTTCCCCTAGTTACCTTCAACTAAAATCACACAGCTATCTTAGGAACTGGGAACAGTAAAACATGATTTTGCTCTGAGCTGAACATCTGTATCTTGTACAGAGCCAATTCCACCCAGATCACTATAACCACTAATACAAATCCTGGTTATGGTTCCTGAAATTAATTATGAGCTGGGAGCAGCTTATATTCTATTACCACTTTGTTTTTGTTTTTTTTTTAAGAACAATTTTAATTTTCAAGATGTGCATAGACACAGCCCACTCTACTTACATGTTAATATTAATTGTCAAGTTGTTTACAGTGAATGGCAGTCGATATTCCACATCTTTCTGTATTTCTGCAATGCTGTCAAAGAAAAAATTGTTAGCATTCATTGCATGGTCAATATAACAGCTAAAAGTCTAAAATAAACATGCATGACCTCAGACATTTGTATTCATTTCAGTTTTGAAAAGCCCTGTAAGAACAAAATTGAAAATGCTGGAGTAAGCTAATAGTCTTCAGCATTCTATATTAAGATTAAAGCAAAAAAGAGTGGATTTAACATTTAAACCTCATACATGGTCACAAGCAAAGGAACTATAGTAGGAGAAATCATACGAAAGCTTCTGACAACAACCTCAACTTATCCTTCTCCCATTACTGGCTTGATTTAAGACAATACATTAGTGGTTTTTTTTAATATACTGAATTTTATCTGATTAAACATTTACTTTGCCAAGGCATTATATCAGGTTCACACTGCTCTGCAACACTGCCTTCAGACCAATATGTAGAACATTCATCAGACTAGGTATTCTTCCTTATTAGATTAGCCTAATATTTAACAGTAGTTTTTACTATGTGCACCAAGCTCACTTGTACTTGCACAAGCTTTCAAGAACTATCTGGAGTAGCGTTACATTCAACAATGTAAAGCTCCAGTGACACTCAAGACCCAGGCCCTCCTGAAAGCACTGATGAGCCTTACAAAATCCAGTAAGGTCAAATCCAAACTTGTTTTTTCCTGCAACGGGTAAAATACAGAGGCAAAAATCTTGAAATGAGCTACATTAACAGGAAGTTGATTTCAATACTCAAAGCATTCTACAATTTCTATGCACAGCAAGACTGTTTTGAAAGAGAGCATCCCAGAGAATGTGGAGGAGGTGGAGATGAAGACTTAGCTCAGAAGCAGAATTTCTAGACAATACGAACATATCTAAGCTGAGAGTAAAAGACAGAAGGGCAGAAAACAAGCTTCCTCAATCAAAACAAGCTGTAAAAGCAAACTGATTGCTCTTCCATGTATATTTCCTGCTTACACCTGGTTAATAATACTCTTCTCTGTAACCTAAGGCTTCCTTATACAGGGGAGAGAACACAGCTCCAATGGCAAATAACGGCAGATGGGTGTTCCCAGAAAACATCTTTTGATCCAACTTCAGAAATGTTCCTCCATCCACTGCCAGGTACACTCCATACAAGTCCTTTTTCAAGAAACCCAGAACACATTACCTGCAAATGTGTGTTAAGAGTAGTATTGGGAGTGTTTTGTGTCCTTCCAAAGTACTACTGGGGCATAGAATTTAAGGCTTCAAAACTAAGTCTCTAAGAGCTTGGGGAACAAATGGGAGTAAGACACGAACTCAGCTATGAATCTTGCTTTCTGCAGCCTGATCTTAATCCTCTCATAGACAACTCAGTATCTGCACTTTCCCTGTGAGATCACATGCTGTTTGAAGAAAATATCAAATATCTTCAGCACAGGAGAATTCAAATCAAGGGTTCTGCAGTGTTACACCACACACAGTGCACCTTCTCATTCATAACTGAAGGATTCTCCCCAGAGTCTCTTACGCACATTCCTGCCCTGTAATCATCTGCCACGCTTCTCATTAGCCTGCTGCAAAATCCTTTTGAGAAAGGTATATAATTACACTTCACTCATATGGAAACTGGGGAGAAAGATGAGGACAGGGAGAGAGGAACAAGAAAGCCAGAATCTCACTGAACTGTTCGAACGGTCATAACCCTGCTTAGGAAAAATCTTGAACTAATAACCTTAGCTGCCGCTTCCCCAAGTGGGAATGAGCACACTGGAAAAATGATACATTCTCAACTTTGTCTAGAACAACAGCAAACGTAAAAAACCTCTTTTTAAAATGCTAAGATTTTATTTTAAGCTCCTAACCTGAGAGGGACAGTACAGGAATGCTAGCTGCTTTGCTGAAATGAAGATCACACATACCTGAGCTTTTATGACCTAAGACAACACAAACCAAACTTGACTAACTTAGTTAACTAAGAATTTTGAGCATTTTGGTGAAGAGCAACAACAATACTCATAAAGGAATGACATTTGGGCAGCTACCATGTCCCTACCCCTCACCTGAATTCCTGGCTACAGCATCCATTCCCTCTCTGCCTATGCTTGAGCTGGTGCCTGCACAAACATTAGCAAACCACTTCAGCAAGCTGACTGAGAAAAACAGATCCCCTTTTTGGGGACTTCATTCAGGATAAGCTCATCTCACTGCCAGATTTTTAAAAAGTGGGTATCAACAAAAGACCAAGTAAGGCCAGCCCAACAAAAACTTTTATGTTAACTAAGGTCCTATATGCCCACAGGAACAGCCCCTTAAAAAAGTAAACTGTCTCCAAAATATCTGTGTAATTGGCTCTGAACAGACTTATACTTATTCAAGCAACAGTACTTAAAATACCATCATATTTATGTTTCTTATGTGATAATTCAAAATATTAGGAAAGAAAACTATCTGCAGTTAAACTTGGAAATGCATTCAATATCTCTTCCACTCCTAGTGTCAGTCTGATGTGACAGAAAGCATTCTCTGTCCTTTTTCTGAATTATTTTGGAGGCAGCTACCATTTCAGTTCTACAGAAATCCTAGGAAGTTGTACATCAGTAGAATTCTTACTTCACTGTAACTATAACTTCAAATGTATGAAATGTGGATCTCCTTTTAAAATGTGAGGAGTTTTAAAAGACTAGGTAAAACAGGGCAGAATACTGCCAAGAGGGAGTACCTCGGAATAAACTGTCTTGCTTTAAAAATTGTGGATGTTGAACAGGAGTAAACACAACTGGCATCCTCTGACCATCTAAACAAAACTAGTTTTTAAGGAGCAGACAGTTTTTAGTAGAAAGCACTGAACACCAGGAAAAAAAAGTTTGTAAGGCCAGTAGGGCTGCTATGCCACTGTGCCACTGCTGGCAGGCCACCGTGACACACAATTCCTTGGTGCTCTATGTTTTAGTCTCAACTTTTAATCAACTACGCTACTACAAGCAGCTTCCAGAGAGGTTTTATCCCAAGACGCAGTCGCGTCTCTTCGAAGACATTACAACCCATCAGCCGGCTTTCTGGTCAATGGCAAGCGAAACCCGGCACGTCGACCTGCGCCCGATCACCCGGCCGGGCCACACCAAAGCCAGCGGGGACGCCTCCCCGACAGCCAACTGGACTTTCAGTTTCCGAATTCTTCCTCCCAGCCCGCCGGGGTCCCACATCGCACCGTCCTCCGGCAGGGACCCCGCGGCACCGCAGTCCCGCCCGGCGGGACCCTTCGGCCCCGGGACAGCGCGGGGTTGGGCCGGCCCGGGCTGCGGCGCCGCCGACTCGGGGGCCCTGTTTACCCACACGGCCGCGAGGACCCAGCCAGGCCTCACGGGGAGGGGACGGGGCGCAGCCGGCTCCCCGCGTCCGCGCATAGGGAGACACGACACGCTACCGACGCAGCGCGGCCCCACTGCGGCCCCGGGACGGGCGACACGGCGCAGCCCTCCCGCGCCCCCGCCCGCCCCCGCGCCCGCCGCGGCCACTCACGAGGCGTGCGCGGCGCGCAGGGACTCGACCTGGCGCTGCCGCTGCTGCTGGAGGCCGGTGCGCGCGGGCGGCGCGGCGGAGGCGGGGGCGGCGCCGCCCTTGGCGAGCGGGAACAGCCAGTTCATCGCGCGCGCGGCGGCACCGGAGGGGCGCGAGGGCACCCGCGGCACCGCGCGCACCCAACGGAGCGCCCGCGCGCGCCTGCGCTCGCGGGGGCCGCGCGGGGCCTCCCAGCCCCGCCGCGGCCCGGCCGGAGCGCGAGGGGTGAGCGGGGGCGGCGCCGCGGGCACCGGGCGGGGGCGCCGGCATCGGAACGGAGCCCTGCGGGACCCCCGGGCGCTGCAGCTCCTCCGGGCGCTCCCGGGGCCTTTCTCGCGCGCGGGGACCCGGCCGGCCGTGTGTCGGTCTCCGCGCGCCGCTCGCTGGTTTAGCGCGGCCCTTGTGAGCTGGAGTGAGCTGCTCCCGCCTCGGGAGGCCGCCCGCGGCGTCCCCGGGTTTGGCGTGACTGCTTTGCCGCTTCGTTCCCTGCTGCACGCAGCCCAGGGATCCGGAGGAGCGCGCCCTTGCGAGCCGCGGGGCAGGAGCGCCTGGGGACCGAGCCGGGTGTCTCCGGTATCTGTGTCACTAGTGCGCCTTGCCGCCCTCGGGCAGGAAACAGTCGCTAACGAAACTGTAGGGGTTTAGTTTCTGATGGTAATCTGAGCACGCGTAGCCGAAATTCTTGTGGTTTTGGTGGCTATGTTGTCCTGCTTTTGTGAAATCCACAGGGCTAAAGCGTAGCTGTGGTGCTTAAGCCTTTTTTTTTTTTCTTCAGCTATACTAAGAGTAAAAACTTACACTTTCATGCTTTGCTTTCTTTCTCTCTTAGGCTAAAAAAATAAACAGTTAAAGTCCTCTTTATGAAATCAATCCTCGATCAAGTGTAACTTTTGATGTATGGTCTCTAAAGCCCCCCACTATGCCAGCAGCTACCGTAGATCATAGCCAAAGAATCTGTGAAGTTTGGGCTTGTAACTTGGATGAAGAGATGAAGAAAATTCGTCAAGTTATACGGAAGTATAACTATGTAGCTATGGTAAGTGGGTGCTTGACGTCTGTCTAGCAAATTACTGCAAAAATCGTGACTTCGGCTGAGGTCAGTAAACTTGCTCATCCTTTAAAATAGAAAGTTAATGTTGAATTAACACTGTATGAACATCTGGATCCTAATCTTTTATCTTTTTAAAAGTTAATTTTGCACACAGTACTCTTCAGCTATGATATGGTTTGAACTATATGGTCGTTGTGTGTTCAGGTTTTAATTCTGCTCTTGCAGGACACAGAATTTCCAGGAGTAGTTGCAAGGCCTATTGGAGAATTCAGAAGCAACGCAGACTATCAGTACCAGCTCTTACGCTGCAATGTCGACTTGCTAAAAATAATTCAGCTAGGACTGACGTTTATGAATGAACAAGGAGAATACCCTCCAGGAACTTCAACTTGGCAATTTAATTTTAAATTTAACTTAACGTAAGTATTCAATTCCTGTGCTGCTAAACGTATATTTCTGACTTACTGAAAATGTATAAATACTGTAGCAACTTCGTTATCTATCTGATTGTAATATTGGAATACCATAAATACTCATGTAAGGAAAACTTTTGTCAGCCAAACATGCTTTCTTCCCTCATTTCTATGCAGTGTTACTGTTGGTTATTTGGTCAAAAATGCTAAGCAGTTAAAAAAAATGTGGAAGGCATTTTATACTTAGTGCAAGAGTTAGCTCTGTGTTTTCCTGTTTAGCATTACAGAGTGCTTCTGCCTTAACTTAGTTTTAACTTCTATTAGTTGTTAAAGAAATCACATATTGTTTCCTTACCTACTTTAAATGGAAAATGCCAACACTTGAAGAAAAAAAAAAGTAAACTTAGTGGAGTGACTAAAAAAGTATGTCAAATGTTATCATTCTGAATTATTTTGTCTAAAGTGTTGGTTAAAAGGTAAGCTGACTTTTATTGTATTGGAATAATACCATGGACTTTATTTCAAAATGTGATTTTTATCAGTGATAAAACTTTTTAAGCATAAACCTCACTTTTTAGGGGGATCAAAAGCTTATCTGGTGCTCCAATTATATCTTTAGCAGGTGGTCGATGAAGTTACTAGTGTCTTGATTTTGTCTTTTCTGAAGTAAACATAATTGGTCTGATAGATTTTCATATGTTGATTATCTGCTGAATTGAAATCAGTACAAGCACTTCTCACACATTTATGCCTTGGGGTTTTTGGCAGTTGTGTTACAAGTTGAGAATTTTGGACAATTTTATATACCTGAGTTAAATTCACAGCCTACAAAGGAGGTTTAGAGAACAGACCTTTACTTTTTCTGCAGATCAGAAGACTTGTTTTCAAAGTAGTTGGGGTTCTTAAGCGGAAAACCGCTGCTGCCTCTCTTGATCTCTGTGGTCTTTTAAACAAGTAGTGGTGTGGATTGTCACATACCAGTTTGATCTGAGCAATGACATGCTCTATTTAGTCTTGTGTGAATTGTCTCCCGAAGGAAAAGTAAGCACAGATTAAATGTTTTGGCATCTCTGAACTTACCTGGCCCTATGAATCCGGGATGAAAGTTACCCATTTTCATAAATAGACAAATGTACTAATCCTACTAATTGTGGGAGAAAAAGGAATTAATAACTTCCAAATTGTGATCTATGATGAAGGGCCTGTGCTACACTTCATTTATTTTCTGAGCTTCAAAGGTCTACTTAGTATCAAACAACTGAAACCAAAAGTAGCCTTCTATCTATTTGTGCCTGATGCTGCAGAGGCAAGACAGATTAGTAAGGCAAGTACTGGTAATCACCAAATTACCTTGTTACTAGTTGATGGTGGAGGTTATAGAAAAATATAAACTTGGTAAGTACTGCACAAGAAATTAATATATATATATATTTTCTTTTAATGTGGATGGACAACTTACTTGTTTTTGTCTGTTTCTAAACATCCTTTTGGGAAGTGGCACTGTGCCAAGTGTTCTCCTCCTAAAGCAAAAGAGCTGTTTGTTGTTCCTAGAAGGTAATTTTTTTTGTGTGTGTGGTTCCAGACAGGTCTTGTTTTAGTGTGCTTTTAAAGAGCATAAATATTTCTCTAATCATACTATGCACCTGATTAGTACAGAGCAGCAGCTAGAACGAAACCCCCTTTTTGTTAAATGGTACATTTGTTTTGGATGAGTTCTTTAATGTGCTGTGGAGATAGACAGGTGTTGAGAAACTGATACCTCAAAGCTGGAGAGCTAATGAACAGGTGTGTGGGAGAGAGGAAAAAAGATATAACACATCTTGAGGATGTATGTCTATGTTCTAACGAATGATGATTTGCTCTTAGGAATAAAGAATACAGGTCTATGACTGAAGCTAGTAGTCAAGTTTGATATATTGGTTGTCTTGTCTAGGTTTTCTTGTGTTTTTGTTTTGATTGCTCTTCATTAAAATTTCAAACTGTACACTGAAGAGACTTTGTGGAGTAGTATGTTATGAACAGTAAAATGAATTTCATTCTTTAAGTACTTACGTGCTTACTTTTTTTTTTCTTCATTTAACCATTCCATGTTTTTGTTATGATGATACAGATAAAACTTAAGGGAGAAAATAAGCTCCAAAGCATGAATTTCAGCATGAAATTCTTAAGACATCGCCAAAAAAAAAAGTTAGCATTAAAGGGAATAAACACAGAGGTAGGAGGGGGTCAAAAAAAGGTAGAGGAATTTTTATTTCATCGTCTTAAATTTTAGGTCCAAAATAGGCTTTTAAAGTTGAAACAGATTGTTTAGAAAGAAAGAGTTTAGACAGAAAAAGTTAGGATCCCTGAATTCTAAGGCTTTTCTAAATGGAGTAAGTACTCAATTTCCAGTTATACTGAAAAAAAGTTTTTATGAACACATGTCTAAACATTTACATAAGCTTAAATCACAAAAAACTTCTGAGAACTGCAGAACTAATTCAGTACTGGGATCTGGGTTGTATTTCTCATATTTCTGCAATGTAGTGTGTTAGTGTTCAACTGTTACATTTAATTTGTTGCAATTCAAGTGATTTATACATACATTTTGCCAAATAAATTCTATAGATGCAGTTTAATCTGTAGGCTTGCAAAAGGGTGATTATAGGTAACTGGAAGAGGAGCAGGAACTAATTTTTTTTATGGAGATGGTAAGAATGAAGGTTCTGGGAATGATAAAATGATAATGAAGGTTAAAAAAATTATAATGGAGGTTAAAAAAAAAAACTTTGAAAAATGGTTGGTTTTGTAATTAACCTAGAAGAAAGTTAAATTGTTCCTGCTCTGGGCTAAGTCTGTGGAATGAATTGCAAAAAAGAAATGTTACCTCATTGAGGCTTGTAGATTTTGGAAATTTACTTTTCCTCTCTGTTTTTAGAGAAGATATGTATGCTCAGGACTCTATTGAACTGTTGACGACATCTGGTATCCAGTTTAAAAAGCATGAAGAAGAAGGCATTGAGACACAGTACTTTGCAGAACTGCTCATGACATCAGGAGTTGTATTGTGTGAAGGAGTCAAGTGGCTTTCCTTTCATAGGTAAATTCTGCATGTTAAGTATTTGAGGTTTCAACATCTCATGGGTGTGTTTAAATTCTAGAACTTGGATTTCACATCCCCTGAGTTTAAATGCTGTGTATGTTGCCCATATCTTGGTTGGTAAGACTGAGGAAATATTTCTGCTGTAATACCTCTAACACCATTTTGTATTGGAAGAATAGAGGGCACAGGAGTTGTACTGGTTTTTTAGCTTTGGTGTTTGTGCAGTAACCAGAACATTGTGAAGCTGAACAACACAAAACTGCTAAACCAGCAGGTGGAGCTGTACACGTGCTAGTAATAGAAACATGACTAGATTCCTGAGCAATCCTTGAGGAAATATTATCTGTTTCATAGGAGAGAATTATCAGTAAAGAGATCTATAAAGCATTCTTAAATTGGTTGTAAATCTGCTAATCTGGAGAAATTACTCAGCTTGGAAGGAGATCCTTCATCAGCCTTATGCATATATTTTACTGCTTATTCCATCAAGGGAGTCAATCTCTCAAGTAGAAATACAAATGTGAATGCTAAATCTCTATGAGTCTGTCATAATACAAAAGATTTTTGATTGTTAATAAGATTTAACACTTTATAAACATACACAATAGTTCTTTAGCTTACTGCACGCCAG